GAACAGTCAGCATGGATTCACCAAGGGCAAGTCATGCCTGACTAACCTAATTGCCTTCTATGAGGAGATAACTAGGTCTGTGGATGAGGGGAAAGCAGTGGACGTGTTATTCCTTGACTTTAGCAAAGCTTTTGATACCGTCTCCCACACAGTATTCTTGCCAGCAAGTTAAAGAAGTATGGGCTGGATGAATGGACTATAAGATGGATAGAAAGCTGGCTAGATTGTCGGGTTCAAGGGGTAGTGATCAATGGCTCCATGTCTAGATCAATGGCTGGTATCAAGCGGAGTGCCCCAAGGGTCGGTCCTGGGGCTGGTTTTGTTCAATATCTTCATCAATGATCTGGAGGATAGCGTGGACTGCACCCTCAGTAAGTTTGCAGATGACACTAAACTGGGAGCAGTAGTAGATACGCTGGAGGGTAGGGATAGGATACAGAGGGACCTAGACAAATTAGAGGATTGGGCCAAAAGAAATCTGATCAGGTTAAACAAGGACAAATGCAGAGTCCTGCACTTAGGACGGAAGAATCCCATGCACTGCTACAGACTAGGGACCGAATGGCTAGGCAGCAGTTCTGCAGAAAAGGATCTAGAGGTTACAGTGGACGAGAAGCTGGATATGAGCTGACAGTGTGCCCTTGTTGCCAAGAAGGCTAACGGCAGTTTGGGCTGTATAAGTAGGGGCATTGCCAGCAGATTGAAGGACGTGATCATCCCCTCTACTCGACATTGGTGAGGCCTCATCTGGAGTATTGTGTCCAGTTTTGGGCCCCACACTACAAGGAGGATGTGGAAAAATTGGAAAGAGTCCAGCAGAGGGCAACAAAAATGATTAGGGGGTTGGAGCACATGACTTATGAGGCTGAGGGAACTGGGATTTAGTCTGCAGAAGAGAAGAATGATGGGGGATTTGATAGCTGCTTTCAACTACCTGAAAGGGGGTTCCAAAGAGGATGGATCTAGACTGTTCTCAGTGGTCCAGATGACAGAAAAGGAGTAATGGTCTCAAGTTGCAGTGGGGGAGGTTTAGGTTGGGAGGTGGTGGAATCTCCTTCCTTAGAGGTTTTTAAGGTCAGGCCTGACAAAGCCCTGGCTGGGATGATTTAGGTGGGGATTGGTCCTGCTTTGAGCAGGGGGTTGGACTAGATGACCTCCTGAGGTCCCTTCCAACCCTGATATTCTATGATTCTATGAATGTAGTTTTGGGAAAAAAATGGGAAGGTGGATTAACTGCTTCACATGAAAGGAGGAGGCTACTGGGGTGGAGAGGAACTTGGGGTGTGGCCTCAAGGTGACTGTCTTCAAAGAAATCCGTGAACAGCAGATGTGCCATCAACCCCACTATTTCCCCTATCCTTCGTGCTGAGGTAATGGCCACTAGAAATGCTGTCTTCATGGACAGGTATAACAGAGCAAGAAGCCATAGTCAATGTTCTCAGAACTAGATTGAGGTCCTAGGTTGGGGTGGATGGTCTGACATGTGGGAATCTATATGTCATTGGGTGGGCAAATACTGAGCACCGGTCCACTGGATGGTGGAAGGCTGTTATGGCCACTAAATGTACTTTAAGTGAACTAAGAAGAGAGAGTCTAGACCTACAGTGCAGCCTAGAATCGAAGGGACTGAGGAAAATGTTGGGTCCACTTGTTTGGAATCACACCAAATTTGGAATCATTTCCATTTTCGCACGCAAGTACGACGAATGGTCGATTTCATGCTATGTAGTAACATCTTTTTCACCGCCTCGGAGCATTTGCTCTCTAAGTCTTGGAACCAAGAAGTAGCCAAGCCTGGAGTCGGAGTATCCTTACATTGGGATGAAGGGTCCGCTGTCATTTTGGTGAGGTGAGGAATGGGCCAAAGGTGAGGAATTGGAGAAAATACTGCCAGCTGTGCAAGGTATGATATAAACTGATGCTTAGAGGATGAGGGTTGAGAGATTGAGGAATGGGAGGATGACAGCTTCCACTTTTGCATTCTGGGTCTCTTACGCTGTGAGCCATAATACTGCTATGATGGGAGGAATTGGGGTGGTCAGGATCTGTGAGGTGGTTGTGAGCCGTATTTCCTCTTCTGTCCTGATGTGAAGATTTTAAGGGAGTGTAGCGTGACCCTGGAGTCCTTTAAGGTGTGGAGCAGGGGTCGGCAACCTTTGAGAAGTGGTGTGCCGAGTCTTCATTTATTCACTCTAATTTAAGGTTTTGCATGCCAGTAATACATTTTAACGTTTTTAGAAGGTCTCTTTCTATAAGTCTATAATACATAACTAAACTATTGTTGTATGTAAAGTAAATAAGGTTTTTTAAATCCTTAAGAAGCTTAATTTAAAATTAAATTAAAATTCAGAGCCCTCCGGACCGGTGGCCAGGACCTGGGCAGTGTGAGTGCCACTGAAAATCAGCTTGCGTGCTGCCTTTGGCACGCGTGCCATAGGTTGCCTACCCCTGGTGTGGAGTGATGCATCAGTCTTATTGGTGAAGGGTTTGGGCCCTTCGAACAGGAGATCCTCGAGTGTCATCTGCACTTCCTTGGGCAATCTGGAGAAGTGTAACCAGGATGCCTGCCTCATTACCACTGCCATCGAGACCGAGTGGGCCACTGTGTCTGCGGTGTCCAGTGTGGTTTGCAGCATTGTTCTGGCTGCTAACTGGCCCTCTTTGACAATGGCCTGAAATTGTCCCTTTTGTATCTCTGAGAAGTGGACAATAAACACGTTGAGTTTCCCTTAATTTATGTAGTCTTATTTAGCCATTACGGTTTGGTAGTTTGTGACCCTGAATTGTAACATCGTCAAAGAGTATGCCTTCCTTCCAAAGAGGTCTAGTCTCTTCTAATCTCTATCATATGGGGTTGATTTGGCATGATGTTGCTTTCCCTGTGCATTAACCACATCTACTACTATAGAGTTACATTGAGGGTGCGTAAAGAGGAAGTCTGCCTCATTAGGAGGAATGTAATACTTCTTGTTGGCTCTTTTGCACATTGGTGCAGTGGAGGCTGGTATCTACCAGATCATCTTGGCAGGGTCCAGAAGTGCCTCGTTAATTGGGAGGACAATTCTGGAAGAGGAGGAAGCATGCAGAATATCCAAGACCCCTGATGTTGCAATGGTGGTACATGGTGTAAGGCCAGGGAGAGACTGTCGTCCTGGTCATTGTACAACTCCCTGCTGGAGAAGGGTGGAGCTGACTGGGACGCTGTAGGTAAATGGCCCTGTGCCGCTGGTGATTCCAGAGATATGCTTAGTAATGGGGCTCCAGTACCAAGTAGCAGGGACTCCAGTTACTCCGTGACCATAAGGTCCCTCGAGAAACAGAACTCCTGAGGTACCGCTGATATGTTCAGTCCTGTCAAGGAGTGCCGGTGCTGACTTGTCAGTACTGACGGCTGTTTATGGGAGGAATGCTCTGATGAGGGTTGCTTTGATGCACTCGATGCCGAGGGTGGATTTGTCAATGGTGATCTCTTAGAGGTGGTACAGTCTCTGTCCTTATCCCTGGTGGGCAGTGCTGTTGCTTCTAAGCCTATGCACATAAAGGCCTTTAGGTGCCATGGCAAAGTTCGTACTGGAGGGTTCCTGATGTTTCTGGGTACCGCACTTCAGAGCCGTAGGTACCAAGGTAACCGAGGATGCTGGGGATCCTCTCTGGCTGGTCAAGGACTCGGTTTGAGGGCTTGGAACCTTTTTTCTAGAGGCTTTGAGGGGGGAGTCAGACGACTTTTTCCATGATCTCACCCCTGTGGGGGTTGAAGGCTCTGGGGACAATCTGCATCTTGATGAGGCTTCAGGGCCAGGGTCAATTGGCAGCTGAAGTGCACCCTCCATGAGGAGAAGTTTCAACTTGAGCTCTGGAGTTCTTACAAGATCTCACCATTAGCAGTTGGCAGAAGGTGCACTTCTGCAGAATGTCTCTCTCTCCAAGGCACCGGATGCAATGAGAGTGTCTGTCCATTATTGTGATTGCCTCCTTGCAGAAGAGGCACCTTTGAAGCCAGGGTAATTGGGTATGCCCCTGCAGGGGCAACCCCCCCCAACAACAAAAGTCAGGAAATGGTGAAAGAAAAAGGTTTTTTTTTGTTTTAACTGAAAAATGGAAACTCTAAACTACTAAAAAGAAATGGAAACTCTAAGAATAGCTACCATTTATATTAAACACTATCAATGTAAAGAAGGAAGAGAATACTGCTCGTTCCATTCGAGGCCAAAGGCGGTCGAGAAGGAACTGAAGCCAGTTTGCCCATGCAGTGCTAGATAGCCTAGAGGCAGACCACGAGGGAGGGAGATTACATGTGAACACTCCTACCAAATTTCTCCAATTAGAGGTGCAGGGGCACCGATACACCTCAATGGAGCACCCATAAGGACACTGCTCGAAGGACAACACAGGGATATGCTATATATCAAAACAGTTTTTAGACATTTTTAATTTCTGCTGACCACTTACCATAAACACATCACTTAACAAAGCTTTATATACACAACATTTGCATACTAGCAAAAATTAAGAATATAACTAGGCCATATATTGAAGGACAATATACAATGAGAGATGTGAATTTCTTTATGGCATTAGAAAGGAGGTGTTTCCATAAATAAGCATTTATAGTATATTTTGTCAAAGTGTTTGTTGCTTCACAGTGTGAAATCAAATTTCTCTGGAACTCATGCAAAAGTTGCATCTGAAGAAGTGAGGTTCTTACCCACGAAAGCTTATGCTCCCTATACTTCTGTTAGTCTTAAAGGTGCCACAGGACCCTCTGTTGCTTTATGCAAAAGAAGTGCACCATAAGGTTAACATAACACATTATTTGTCAATCCAACATGTTCACACTAGAACAAAAACCAAACTTGCATTCTATTCATTCTTCACTTATGCTTTTATTCTCTGCTTTATCTCATTCAATCAGTGATAATGCACTCCACCCAGGACTTCCAGGTTGATGTCTCTCCCTGCATGACGGCTGCCAACACCAAAGGACCCTCTCCCAGACTCACCTTCTTCCGGATGTCTTCATCATTTGCTCCAAGTGAAGCATACAGCTTGAACGCAGCCTGGCGCAGTTCGTGAGCATGCTTTAAATCATGGTCAAGCTATTGAAAAAAGGTAAATCAAAGTCAGACACTTTATGAGAGAGCATTTAAACTTGCACATGGTATTTTCTTAATTGTTATAGATTAGTGCCTGTTTACTCGGGTTTTGATTGCATTACACACCAAACAGGCAGGATCGCCACTGAACCTGCAGATTAACTTTAAGTATGTGTTTAGGTCCCATTGAAGTTAATAATTAAAGTTAAGCACACATGTGAGTGCTTTGCTGAATTGTAGTCTATACAGATAAACAGTAATAACCAAGCAACATATGTATGCAACCTCTCAAAATACAGGATGAGATTAGTTATGTTTTCCCAGACAAAATGAGTCCCACTCTCTTCTTCCTCTACAAGCCAGACCAAAATGTCCTCCTTTCGCCATGCCCATCCCACAGAAAGAGTTACATGGTCAGATTCGGGGAAAACAACTAGATTTACTAGGATCTAGATATCAGAGGGGTAGCTGTGTTAGTCTGTATCCACAAAAACAATGAGGAGTCTGGTGGCACCTTAAAGACTAAGATTTATTTGGGCATAAGCTTTTGTGGGTAAAAACCCATTTCTTCAGATGCATGGAGTGAAAATTACAGAAACAGGCATAAATATATATTGGCACATGAAGAGAAGGGAGTTACCTTACCATACAGTCACCTTCTCATCAATTATTGGGAATGGACCACATCTACCCTGATTGAATTGGCCTTCAACATTGGTTCTCCACTTGTAAGGTAACTCCCTTCTCTTCATGTGCCAATATATATTTATGCCTATTTCTGTAATTTTCACTGCATGCATCTGAAGAAGTGGGTTTTTTACCCATGAAAGCTTATGCCCAAATAAATTTGTTAGTCTTTAAGCTGCCATAGGATCTAGATAAGCAGTCCCAATAAAAAGGGATGGTATCAAGGGACCAAAACTGCTCTTAGAACTTTGGCCGAAAGGCTCCAACAGATGAAGAAATGGTATCTATTTAATTCAACGTGAAAAACACTGTCAAGGGAATTTTGAGGTTGCAGGGTAAAACACTCAAAAGTCAGGAAATGCCAAAGGTAAGTTTGTCTGAGTAAGCTTAACTCTGCCTCAGTGCATCCACATTACAGTATAGTACATTACTTCATGATTATATACAATTTTTCAAATAGAACAATCAATTTATCCTGCAGAGCCCTGCCTCATTCCACCTACAACTTACAAGATATTATCCATTTCACAAGATCAACTCAGCCATGTGGTGAGTGTGACATACATGTGCAATGCTGCTGACATCTACTCTGGACATTCATAAAAAGCGCTAAAACACAGTGTCAGACTCAGGTCTGGAATGTTGGTTTTTTGATTCTCTAGCCAATGTCTAATGCTTCCCAGCCAGTTACTGAACCTCTTTTTTGTCTTATTTATTCAATTGAAAATTTGCTCACAATTCTTTGTACTTATGTGGTATTTTTTCATCTGTGGCTCTCAGAGCATTTTGTAAACATGGGTAAGCAGGAGCAGCCCCATATTATAGGAGTTTGAGAACTAAATCTGCCAATTGTGATTTCCTGGGCTATTCCAGAACCAAAGGGGATTAGAGGACCTTTGTCTTTTTTGAGTACATTCCAAATCAGTGGAAGAAGGGGCGGGGGAAGGCCAAGAATACTTTCCATCCCTGGGATCACCATTCCTTTCTTATGTTCTCCCTTCCCCAGTGAGAGGAGGGGAGTTAGAGAGAGTAAGCAAGAGAGGGAAACTGAGTCTGCAACTCCATGCTCCCATTGCAAAGGAGGCTAAAGAGCTGTCTAGAAGGTGGTGGAGTAGGTGTTTGTGCAGAGTGCTTGGCTAACAGGCCTTTGCCTGCTCATTGCTCCTACAGTGTTATTTGCCTGGAATGTTCCTCCTCAGTGTGGGAGGAGGGAGAGTCATACAACAAAAGAAAGATCTTGTGCCTAAAGAGCCAAAGACATTGAGGGCCTGATCCAACTCGCACTGATTTCAAGAGGAGTAGGGTCAGGCATTAATACAGCAGTGCAACAATTGAAAGACAATTTTAATTAAAGTTCTGCGTACTTAAGACACACATTTGCAGTTTCAAAATCTCTTTAATGTACTCTGAGAAGTTCTGAACTGACAGAGAAAAACACATACCCTTTTGATATCGGTAATTGCACTGACTGAGCTGGGATACTTGAAGTAGTCAGAAAGCATTGCAATAAGATGGTCTGTAATACTGGCGATTCTCTGGAGCTCAACATCTGTTTCAATTAGATAGGCAAGTGTTTCGGCTCCTTCTACTCGTTCCTCCAACAATCTTTCCTTACTACACATCCGAACCAAACTTGGCAGTGTCTGGAGGGTACAGAATTCAACTTTAGTTTCAGAGAAGATAATTTGTAAGTCTTTATAGATTCCATTTCAGTTTGATGTTTAGAACAAGTTTCCTCACCAAAGTTTCTTAAAGAAAAAAAGGTTCAAATGGTTGTGGGAATATACACACAAATTAAGTTCAACTTATTTAATTATAGGCTCTTCTTAGCACTCGTCACTGCACTATAGGGTTCTCTCCTGCCATTTTTTGGGTCATAATACTCTTTGCAAACGCCATGTCCCGAAAGGGCTCACAATCAAAATGTTCTGTATGGAAGTTCAAATGTCCACTTAATAGTCTTTACTTGCAAAGCTTTACTTGTGCTGTAGAAAAGAACTCTGTTATTTGTCCCCAGAACTCACCAGCACTGATATGGAAGAGGCTTCTAGGTACCAAGGTAAAAATGAGCACATCAAGTATCCCACTTTGATTCTAACATTCCCAATTCAGTATTGTCACAAGAAGCAGCTTCTGGAAATAGGAATAGAGTGATTCCGAAACAAAAATACAAACAAGAACATGTCTCATACTCATGGTGTAAATAAAAAAGCTGAGTTCTTTAGCAATAACTGGAGTGCTAGAAAAATATTGCCTTCATGCAGTCCAACTCCTGGAATCTGCATATCAAGCTGTGAGACCTGAGAATGGCTGAAAGCAAAAAGCCTCAAGAGATGTCCATGGGCTATCCCTCATGAAGATGAGCAGTGAGACAAAGATTAGAAAGAGGCATGTGGCCTCTCCTCATTTATTTAATGTCCCCTGGACTGGAAACACAGGGGGCCTGATGCAGCTGGAAAGGAGTGTGAGGGAGTATAGGTCTGTGGAGACCATATATTATTAGAACTCCAATTACTAGTAAGTAATCTAGTTTTCCACTAGTGACATTGCCACCAAAGAGTCATTGGGGATCAGGCATGCAGCAATCCGCCACAGTAGAGGGATTGTGAGATACTTATCTTAATATGGGCATCTGATCTAGGCTTGTTATTGAGAATATGTTGGTAAAAACGTACAATGAGTTTCATATGGTCACTCTGAAAATCTTTAGCTCTGGATCCCATCTATTATGCTCACTCTTGCCATAGGATCTGCTGTAGCTGTAGTGGGACAGGGCGCTAAAGGCCACTTGGAACTAAAAGTCTGTCTGCAAACAACAGATCTGAATACAAAGGTGGATCTATTTGGTCAGCCTTTGCACCCTTCCTCCAAATCCAATAATATGGAGGTTTTCCAGAAAATCCTGCTCCTATTCAAGTGATAAATAAGTGCCTGCTTCACAGTCAACTTGTGGAACAAAGCTGCCTCAGACAAGTCAGAAGATCTAGTAAAGAAAATCTGCAAGAAGACCAGAGACCACCTGCAGCCAGGTGAGACGAACTGGGACTGTTCTTAATGTGGTCTTTGAATGCTGAGTGGGGAGTGTTGGCTGGGAAGGCAGGGGAGGTTGGCAAGGACGGTCTGCATTGGGGGATGGGAGACTGGCCGTGAGGGAGAATACCTGAGCATGTAACGTGAGAATCCAGGAAGGGGTTAGAGGCCAGGTGACACCTTTGCCCGGGAAACTGAACAAAGGCTGTGGGAGGGGACGCTGGGGAGAGAGTTTCAGGAGCTGGCTGGTGGAATGTCTGGGAGGCAGACAGGGCTCTGACCTCCCAAGGGGGCTGTGGTGCCCTGGGACCCCAAGATGGACCTAACTGGGGGGGATCCTGTTGTCTGTGCCTGCAAGACTTGTCTTGGACTGTGTTCCTGTCGTCTAAATAAACCTTCTGCTTTACTGGCTGGCTGAGAGTCATGGTGAATCGCAGGAAGCCGGGGGTGCAGGGCCTTGTGTCCCCCCACACTCCGTGACAACTGGTGGCAGCGGCGGGATCTACTGCACCCCGTGGACGGCACTTCCTGCAGTAAGTGACTGGGGAGCAGTAAAACGAAGGGGGATTGACGGGGACCAGGCGTGCTGAAGAGTCAGAGAGACGGTTTCAGGGGGCTATTCACCCCTGGGAGTGTGTGACCAGCGAGAAGGACTTTTGCAGTAACAGGGTCCCCCGGGGGATCGCAAGGGAGGTGGTGACCTCGAGAAGGGCTGGCATACCAGGGGTTCTCCTTGGAAACTGGGGAGCGGTGAGCACCCAGGCCTGTGAGTGGCCAGCAGGAAGATGTATGCCAAGCGGCTTAAGAGCGACCTGGTGGAGCTGTGCAAGCAGAGGGGGCTGCGCAGTGGGAGGCTCACCAAAGAACAGCTCATTGCCCAGCTGGAGGAGGGAGATCGCTCGAATGAACTGATCCCTGTCTCTGAGGGAAGCAGCCTTGCAAATGCAGCGCAGGCACCAGTGTCTGTCCCATCTGGGAGTGGTCAGCCGGCTGCTGAGGGCTTCCTGAGACCCCTCCTTCCTATGCCTAGGGGAAGGGTGGGGAGGAGCCCAGCAAATACCGAGGGCACCGTGACCCTCCCGGCCAGCAGGGGATGCTCCCAGCGACGCTCGGCATCCGTGGAGCGGAAGCGGCTGGAATGGGAGAAAGAGCTAAAACTGAGAGAGCTGGCAGATCGTGAACAACAGAGACAGCATGAATGGGAGGAGAAAGAGAAACAGAGGCAGCATGAAGAGAGACGGAGGCATCATGAACTGGAGCTGGCGAGGCTGAGGGGCAGCGAGCCCCCAGCTGCGGTGAGTGAGGGGGGACCCAGGACTGCACAGAGCTTTGATAAGTGCATCCTGGCCCCACGTAAGGAGGGGGAGGACATGGATGACTTCCTGGATGCCTTTGAGACGGCCTGAGAGCTGCACCAGGTTGATCCTGCGGACAGACTCTGGGTTCTCACCCCCTTACTGGACCCCAAAGCCGTGGCATTGTACCGCCAACTGGAAGAGGCGGAGAAAGGGGACTACGAACTATTCAAAAAGACCCTGCTACGTGAGTTTGGGCTGACTCCTGAGATGTACCGGGAAAGGTTCCGGAGTCAGGATAAAACCCCTGAGATCTCATATCTGCAACTAGCCGTCTGCATGGAGGGATATGCCAGCAAGTGGGCAGATGGGGCCCAGACGAAGGAGGACCTGGTTAAACTGCTGGTACTGGAGCAACTATATGAGCGGTGCCCATCCGACCTGAGGCTGTGGTTGAGGGACAAAAAGCCAGAGAACCCACGACATACAGGCCAACTTGCCAATGAGTTTGTAAAGAGCCGGTCAGGAGATAACAGGGAGGAGTCCCAAAGGAACAGTCCCACCACAACGCAGAGAGAGAGTCACCATGGGACCTCCCAGCGGGGAAATATGGAGAACCCCCACCAAAGGGGAACATCCAGCATCAGGTCCATCCGACCCACCCGAGGGGACCCACGGGACATGAGCTGCTATCACTGTGGCCAAAGAGGCCACATACGGGCCCAGTGCCTCAGGCTCAGGGACAGACTGAGCGGACCCAACCCACAGAGGGTTGACTGGGTAGAGACCCAGCCGGACGAGGGGAAGACGGCCCAGGCAAGGGGGGCTGACAGCTTCCCAATGGCTCAGGAGAGAGGAGGGCCCCAGGCCAGCTCCTCTGGGGGTCTGGATGCTCCAGACTCAGGGTTTTTGGTTTATATGGTGGGCGCGGGGCTGTCCCTCCGGAGAGAGTACCTTGTTTCCCTGGAGGTGGATGGGAGGAAGGTCAATGGATACTGGGATACGGGCGCAGAGGTGACGCTGGCCCGGCCCAAGGTGGTGGCCCCAGATCAGGTGGTGCCCAACACCTACCTGACCCTGACGGGGGTGGGCGGGACCCCAGTCAAAGTGCCCGTGGTGAGGGTACACCTGAAGTGGGGGGCCAAGGAGGGCCCCAAGGACGTGGGGGTACACCCGTATTTGCCCACTGAGGTGTTGGGGGGGGACCTGGAGGAGTGGCCAAGCAACCCCCAGGGTGCCCTGGTTGTGACCCGTAGTCAGAGCCGGCGAGGGGCACTGCGCCCTGACAACGGGGAGGGTGCCTTGCCCGAGGCGCAGGACCCTAATCTGGTGGGGAGGGAATGCCCAGGGGCACGGCTCAGGGAGGCTGCGGCTTCAGACCCAGCCGGCTAGAGAGAGCAGGTGGCCATCCCTGATACCGGCTTGATATCTCCGCTTGATACCGGCTGCCAACTAGACATGGAGCCATTGATCACTACCCCTTGAACCCGACGATCTAGCCAGCTTTCTATCCATCTTATAGTCCATTCATCCAGCCCATCCTTCTTTAACTTGCCGGCAAGAATACTGTGGGAGACCGTATCAAAAGCTTTGCTAAAGTCAAGGAATAACACGTCCACTGCTTTCCCCTCATCCACAGACCCAGTTATCTCCTCATAGAAGGCAATTAGGTTAGTCAGGCATGACTTGCCCTTGGTGAATCCATGCTGACTGTTCCTGATCACTTTCCTCTCCTCTAAGTGCTTCAGGATTGATTCCTTGAGGACCTGCTCCATGATTGTTCCAGGGACTGTGGTGAGGCTGACTGGCCTGTAGTTCCCTGGATCCTCCTCCTTCCCTTTTTTAAAGATGGGCACTACATTAGCCTTTTTCCAGTCATCCGGGACCTCCCCCGATCGCCATGAGTTTTCAAAGATAATGGCCAATGGCTCTGCAATCACATCTGTCAATTCCTTTAGCACCCTCGGATGCAGCGCATCCGGCCCCATGGACTTGTGCACGTCCAGCTTTTCTAAATAGTCCTGAATCACTTCTTCCTCCACAGAGGGCTGGTCATCTCCTCCCCATGCTGTGCTGCCCAGTGCAGCAGTCTGAGAGCTGACCTTGTTTGTGAAGACAGAGGCAAAAAAAGCATTGAGTACATTAGCTTTTTCCACATCCTCTGTCACCAGGTTGCCTCCCTCATTCAATAAGGGACCCACCACTTTCCTTGACTTTCTTCTTGTTGCTAACATACCAGAAGAAACCCTTCTTGTTACTCTTAACATCTCTTGCTAGCTGCAACTCCAAGTGTGATTTGGCCTTCCTGATTTCACTCCTGCATGCCTGAGCACTATTTTTATACTCCTCCCTGTCCAATCTTCCACTTCTTGTAAGCTTCTTTTTTGTGTTTAAGATCAGCAAGGATTTCACTGTTAAGTCTTCTATGAAAAGACTTCAAATCTGAGACCTGAAGTGTTTGGGAGAGGATCTTGTGTTGCTGCTGACAACTCTGATGGGAGTTGGGGTTCTACTCTTTGTCTGCTAAGGCCTTATCCACAGCAGGAGTTTTCTCCCACTCCCAGCTAGGGGCAAAAAGGTCACACATGTCAAAGAGATGCTGTGAACGCTGCTCAACCACACATCTAGATTGTGTATTTCTTAAGCCTAAACTGTCTCCCATTATCTGGGATTATGGATACAGAAGTCTCACTGGACAGACAGCTCTTAAACCTACCAAATTCTACTACTATTCAAACAATTAACAGACTGAACAAGGGAATGCCCTGGTTCTTTAACTGCATTGTCAAGCATACAATGAGGAAGTGAGAAATGCTTAAGAGGTCACATTCTTTGTATCCCTCAGCTCTAGAATGTTCAGATCTCTAGTTGATACATGATCGTTCTAGATTTCAGTGTTAGCCATGGTTCTGTAACTAACCAGAAAGTTGTGTAATTCCTACAGGGGTGCTCTAAAACGGCAATTTTCTGACAGAAGGCTGGATATGCAAATCATACCTAACACACCATGATAACAGTCTCAAAAATTTCACTTGCCAGCCACCATATAAGAAACAATGATGAACACAAAAGTGTCCACACAGATCCTTAAGAAAAATATTTTATGAAACTATTATTAGCAGAGATGCTTTTTCAGATTAAAAAATATAAACTGAAGCAAGCACTGAGAGTACCATCTGTTGACTACCGTCTCTTAAAACAAAAAAACATGAATGACAGGTTTTCACTTGCATTCAGACAGCAGCCTGATGAAATCGTTTTGCATGTTCTTTCCAAATGATTGTCCAATACTGCAGTGCAACTTTTAATTTTTAAGTTTCTGCAACTTGACAAATATAAAATTAATTTTGTATCAAACTTTTTTTCTGGATTCAGACTTACTGTATCTAGCTTAATAAACAGAATTAAAATGTCACCACTATTAAATATTGCTACATAGGGAGATTTTCAAAGGCATAAATGGGAGTTAAGCACCTAATTTTTAAAGGGAGCTGGACAACTAACTGCACTTTGTGCCTTTGAAATGCTCCCCCATAGAATCAATAGTGCTTTTGTAACACTTTATGTCAGACGTACACAAATAAAATAGTGACAAACACGTAGTGTGATAAAACTCTGGTTTAACTGTTGCTTAAATTTCAAACAAATTATGTAACCAGCTTACCTTTAAAACAATGCAGATATCATCTGTCTGGATTGCTCCTGCTCTGCACATGTAAGTAAGGCTGTAACAAGACAGCAGAATATAAACGCACTTACTTCCAGCTTTTATAAACATTAAAAAGTTATTATAAAAAGAATGGCTGTACCAATGGAATAACTACTTGACTTGGTTATAACACCCATTTTAACACATGAAGTTTTACTGGGCTCAGACACCATTCCATATAATACTTGAATAATACAATTTATTTTTCTACATGCAGCTTTAAAGACTTAGCTGTCAAACCCTGAAATGACTAGCAATGGTAAGATGGGTTTGGTTTTGCTCTTGCTGACACCACCATAAGTTTGGAATCATTTTATCAAAATCAGAGAACACAGAATTGGGACCTACGTTTAAAAGAACAAAGTATAAAATGCACTGGAGAACCAGGTTATTGCCCTGATTCAGGAAAGTATCTCTATTAGGCCACGACTTAAGCATGTGCTTAAATCCCATTGAAGTAAATTTAGGACTTAAATCCATTCCTATTAATGATAGCATGTAAGCATGTGCTACGTGCTTTCCTGACTCGAGTTACATGTACATAAAATGGCAGAGTACATGTTGTTATGGAGCCTTACATTTTGAATTTCCTAACTTTTGCACATTTAAATGTTCAGCCCTAACATTGTAATGAAGTAGCATTTTGTAGTTAATCTCCTTCTTTAAAATAAAAAAAAGCTGCAAGCAAATTAACTTGTTTGTGTTCTCACAATCAACTGAGCATCATGGCCCTGAAGAAAGTGTGCCCTCCTTCCAGATACTAGGGTGCTTACTAAACACCCTATGTTCTTTGAAAAGTACTCCCTGAGACTGTGGCACTGGGGAAGGGGTACAGGAAAGACTGGTAGCAGGGTTAAGGAAATACTAACTAGATGGAGGGTGACAAGAAAGATACCATGGAATTGTGGGTTGAGGGAAATTGGGTGAGGTTGTTACAGGCTTGTTGGAGAAGAATCAGAGGTACTCAAAGGCAATAAGTAATTTTATAGGGTTTATAGTATTGCAGAAAGTGGGATCTGAAAGACACACCAAGATATTTTCTTAGGTGGGATGGAAGTCGTCTCAGGCTTCTTGGAGGATCCCCAGGTGTCTCAAAAGAAAGGTGCAATGGGAGCTATTATGTCTTCCCCTACATTTCTAATGACACTGGAGGGGGCTCTAAGGAAATGTCAGGTTTCTGCTTGGTCCAGCTATCCATTTAAATTTAAAAAAATCATGTATAAGTTTAAGAAATTTGCCAAAATTAGAACAAAAATAAATTACTTACATATCAAAATTAAAGTTAAAAAGGGAGAGAACCCTCAGTCTATTGAAGTCTGTGTTAACTACTCAGGAGTAAGTAGGGATGGCAGTTAGGAAGTCAGATATCCAAGCACTTACTGTCATGATATCTGGCACCACTTACATGTACATAATTAAAAACAAGTACTTCTACAAAGGTAACAAATTTGATCCTGCCCTAAGCCACCCATCAACAAATGATAAACCCAGCTAAAAACCTGCAATAAAGAAAAGGCTAAATTAAAGAGGTCATGTTACAACTCTCCCTTAAAAGTGAGCAGATGGGATCTTGCAGTCAGCAGAGGTGAACCCCACGGCAGGGATATTTCACTGAGATTGACATTACCAACCTCACAAAACCAACAGGGGAGTACTGCATGCTCTTGTTATTTCTGCGATTGGTTAGAAGGAGACAGCCTGTCTCTCAAATAGCTGCGTCTTCGGCCCAGCTAGGACTCGTCTACACAAGAAAGTTGCACCGTTTTAACTTAAATCGGTTTTAGTTAAATTAATGTAAACTCCTGTATGGACATATTTATTTTTGTTTAAGAGAGGCTTATTTCAGTTTAGCTTAAAGCAATTCCTAATCTATTTAGAACTTGTCTGCATGGAGAGTTGCAACAGTTTAACTTAGTGTGATTTTTAAAACATCTAGTTAAACTAGTGCAAAATACTGTACAGACATACTTATTTCCGTTTAAACTAACCTTACTATGCTTTAGTGCAAGAAAGGCAGTCAGTCTGAGTAACCAAAGGTACAGAAAGATTTTCCAAGGGTAAACCTATGAAAGTTACATTATCATAGAATCGTAGAACTGGAAGGGACCTTGAGAGGTCATTTAGTCCAGTCCCCTGCACGCATGGGAGGACTAATTATAAAAACTGCAGACTGTTAACAGGCATGGGGTACAATCAGTCAATGCTGCTACCTGGAAAACCAGTAACCATTTTAGATCCAGAAAAACCCTGGTGTCATTTGTATTACAGCAGAGCCCAGAAGTTCCAGTCAGGCCCCCATTGTGCTGGACTTATAGAGGTATACTGAAAACCGCTATGACAACAGGCAATTATACATGTTAAGCTGAGAATACAGACAAAGCTCCTGCCATTTTCTTAAGATGCTTCCTTGTGTCTCCGTCCCACCCAGCTAGAACCTAAGGCAACCAGCCCACTTTTGTCCAGGTCCTGATCATGGCCAGGTATTTGGAAAGTAAGAAAAGGGCCAATCCAGATTTGATTAAAAAGATGCAGCTAAATCATTTTTACATGGAGGAAATTGCAAGCCATAACAGCTCACTATCGCCTCTAAACAATGAGCAGAAGGGGAAGATAGAAAGGACTCCTGTGTGATTCTCCATGCAAGATCCTGCTAAAGGTTACATCTACTATTGGAACCAGGGGTGTGATTCCTAGCACGCGCAGACACACTCATGCTAGCTCTCTTCAAGCTGGCGTGCTATAAATAGCAGCATAACCGGGGTAGCACAGGCAGTGACAAGTGACAGCACAAGCTAGCCACCCCAAGTACAAACCCACATGAGTACATGTTCAGGGAAGCCTCCCCATGCCGTCACTCGCCACTGCCCATGCTACCCCAGCTACCCTACTATTTTTAACGTGCTAGTTCCATGGAGAACTAGTGTGGGTACGTCTACACGAACTGGGAATCTCTCCCCCAGCTTCAAGTGGAGATGTAGCCTAAGAGAAATTGCCCATTGCACTCTCAAACAACCAACCATACTGGAGGCAGCTGATATATCTGATTAACATCAGCATGGACACTTAGTCTCTGACCCTTGCCTAAAGGAGGTCAACCAATGAGATTTGCACAGGCTTTTTTGCCATGCACAGGCATAAAGTGGTCGGATAGGGACCCAAGAAGTGGAGGAATACAAATGCTATGGGAGATGAATCAGCACTACCTTCTCAATGATTTTCCTCCAAAATGGGAGGTTACAGACAACATAATTAGTGACGTTGTTAACATGACAACTTTTAAAGCCAAATGACAGCATATATAAGGATTGACAGCTAACAACCATTAACAGTCATCAGTAATGGACGCAGATGCTCCACACGGGCTTTCACCATTTGTGAGACCATAGGTCCCTCTTCCAGACAGTTAAACACATTTCACTCAGTGCACTGAGAACTTACACTTGCAAAACTATGTGGAACTCCATACAGGAAGCTGGCTCTTGCTCTGACACTCAATCCAAAGAACCAGACAGACTATCTTGGATTGAAAAATCCACCAAACACTACTAGCTCGAGGATTAAACCCACAAGCTCAAAGGGGTTGGAGGACCCCACTAGCAAGAGATAGTATTTGGTGATAAGCCCAGCCCCTGCCCCCCTCCTCTGCTGGGAAGTGGGAGGTGGTACAGGAATTTCTAATGGGGTGCTGTGCTTTGGTCCTGTTTGTGGGACTAGCTAGTGAGTGTTTGAGAAATGTGAAGCTCCATACCCCTTAGCTATGAGAAAGAAGAAGTCACTTGCTGACTCTTCTCTCCCTTCCTGAGCCTTCTGGCTGCTGAAAGGGCAGAGGATATTTGCTACTCTACCCCTCCCCCTAGATCCCACTGACTGCTGAGTGGGGTGTGCCAGCTACTCTACCCTAGCCCCATACCCCCTAGACTCCTGCAAGGATAGTTGGCAGTAGGATTACACCCCTCTACTAACTCTGCATGGTTTTAGTTCCTCTTCCCACAAACATCATCAGGACCACCCCTGCTGTTGCTCCTATCTTTCCCACATTGCAGCAACATCCAACAGTCAGTGGCACAAAAGCTGTTGAATAGCAACAGTGAAACTGCCCACAGTCATTTTAAATGTCAATATGTTGTTGCTTTTTACCTCTACAGTAGGAGGAACACCAGCAGGGATACTGGAGGTGCCTGTAGCACTGTCTACACTAGGGAAGTTTTGCAGAAGTTTCCCACCATTATCATTACTGATTCACATCCACCAGTATTAGCAACGTTGGGAGCCTTAGCCCAAACCAGTTGCTGGATGCCATTGGTGTTTCAAGCACTTTGTCATCTAATCTGCTCAGAGCCAGTTTAAGCAACATTGTCATCAGCAGGTGTTCAGTTAACACTTGGGCTATCACTGTTGACAACACTACTGAACTGGTGTTAAACAGTGATGCAATACATTTTCAATATTTACTTAGTGTAGATAATACCTGTGTAGAATGGTTTTCATTCAGTTCACACTGGGAGAGATGTCTGCAAAACTGAAAACATAAGGACTACAAACTTTTAAAAAGTGCTTAGAACTTGAATATACCACATAGGCCACAAGTACATTATCTGTGCTGGATCCAGCACCTGGACGAGAGTTTTACATAAAATTGAGCAAGCTACATGCTGCTGCTAAGAGCCTGCTGGTGTCATATATCAGGACTTTCTTGGCTGCTTGTGTCCCCGCACCTTCCTCAAGAGCTTTTGTAACTAGAACAAATATATATTTTAGGCTGAACTGGTTTCCTTATAGAACGCGTTTGTCTTTATGGGCCTGTCTACACTACAGATTGTTTACTGAATGGGAAGCCCAGTTTCATTGCACAGTTTGCTCCTGGTTACACACAATATGGTTTAAACATGGCCCCTGTACCATGAAAGACTGCAACTAAACTGTCACTCTTCCTTTGCTGCATACATAGAAATTCCCTGATCGTGTTACCATGCAAACCAGTCCTATTACTTCCCAGGTCTTCACCTGGAGAACATCCCAAGGTGCATTGCACCATCTGCTACAGAAAGCACTAAGTATTCTCAGCACTCTATTCTCTGTACACCAGCAATGCTTACTACACAACCAGGAAGTTGTGGACCAGATCAAAATGACCAATATTTAAGGTTGCTAGCTATACCAAAACAACCCACTATCCCCAGTCTGTTGGATTGCTGACCTCTTTCACCAGCTACCTACCCCAAAATCAAGAATGTTCAAGTGCGCACCTAGGCTTAATGCCAAACTGACAGACCTTGCTAGTGATCTAGATTAAGAAACCACCCTGGTTAATCTCAGCTCATCTAAACTAAATCAGTAGGTGTATCAGCAGAGAGTTGAGATTCACCAAATCTGAGAATCCTATGTGGTAAAAAAATCAAGGCAAGAGAAGTCCAGTATCATTGAACACAAGAGGATAGCTGGGAAGTCCAGCAAAGGATGAACCATCTGCTCAGTCACAATGAGTTAGATGGCATTAGAGGCACCAGAATGACATTTAGCCCATGCTACATAGTCAAGAGCTGTGTGTTGAAACAGACGATGACAACAGGGTGCCAAGGAGAAGAAAGAAGATGCTGATTGTATCAGCTAGGTGCTGTAGTGGTGACAGTTGATCATAGAACCATGAATGGCAAAGGTGTCAAACTAGCCGTGGGCTGAAGTTTTAAATTGCTCAAAGTGGATGAAAGGTGGCAGGACTTCATTGTAACCTAGAGAAGAATGTTATCTAAAGAATTATGTAAACTAATAGTGACTGCAGTAAAAACTGCCGATTCGAGGTTTTCAAGGCTCCTTGTGAGGTTGAAGATGTTTTAGCAATGGATGAAGATATCTAAGATTTTAAGATAAAAAGATTAGATATGAATAATAAGAGTAGCCACATTATGAACAAGAAACACTTATAAGGGGTACAAATTCATGTTTCAGGACATAAGCCAACCACTAACTGCTTAGAGATCATGAAGTATCTTCCCACATGGGCATATCAGTACTTTGCACCTTCTTTTAAAGCTTGTAGTATTGACCAATGTCAAAGAGCGAATAGTAGATTAGATCGACCATAGGTTTGATCCAATATGGCAATTCCTATGTTCCTATAAAACATTTTATCTCCAGGACTGGTGAAAGTCAAAGATATCATAGAAATTTGCCAAATGGGCATAGTTGTTTCCATAGAACTAAGAGTCCTTCTGCTTATACAACTGTATATTTTATACTGAACAGGACTGCGTAGTCCCAATACATATAATCAAATAAACAAAGTAACATCTTCTAAAATAGGTTTTATACTTGTACTAAAAGTTATATTTATTCAAGAAAAGTTCTTTTAATCAGTCTTTAGATAATTCATCTCTCATGCTCTTATGATACTGAAAAACATCTAGTCAGTTACTCAAGCTTTGGACAGACAAGGTGGATGTGGTAACATCTCTTATTGGACCTACTTCTGGAGACAGGCCTGAACAATTTAGTGTTTTATTGAAATATAGGAATTTTAGTAGAATTTAATACATATTTTATATATATTAATAGACTATACAAGACAATTGTTTGTAAAAGTTTGAATTTCTTGCTACAAGAGGTATACTGTATTTTTTTATGTACACTTGTTTCTTGGAAAATTCAAAAGGTGTCTCTGGTGTTTAAATTTAGGAAAATATAACCTTCCACGGGAAACTGGCGGCACCTGAGAATAACAGCAGAAGTTAACATTTATTGCTATTGGGTTTGCAGGAGAGTGCTGACTGCTTTTAAAAACATTCAGTCAGTGCATGACAATGTTCTTCAAAGTATTTGATCTGTCTTTATGAGATGACAGTGGTTTTCAGATTCTTGCTTACTCCACCGATGTCTACAAAAGGCTGCAGGGGAGGTAAGGTTTCCCCTGAAATTATCTCAAAATATAATTTTTCACTAAGAATTACTGATATAGAACAGGTCTGGAGGTTAATTCCTTAATTAAAAAAATCTTTTTTTCAAGAATGTGCCCACATTTCATGGTGTTTTCTACATAACGAACCAGATGCTGTAAATGTGCTATCTCTAAGGGTGAATGATCCTGGAGTGTAGTACAAGCTGCAGAGTTCTGACAATCACACAGAGTCTTCAGATAAGAGGATGGAGTAGGAAACAAGGGAAAAATAAAACCACAAGGAGAGGGCAGGTCATGGTGGAACCACTCATGGGATGCAGAACCTTGCTGATTAACATAGGGGAGGACAGAGACAGCAAGCAGGGGATAGAGCAGCCTGTTCATTTAACACAAGCATTACTCCCTACAGATATCACAGCCTAAAGATGGACACACCCTGTGCTCAGATCTCTCCCATCCCCAGAGGCACTTGTATGCTACACTTGACAGAGCTTTTCCCCTCTCCAGAGGTGCCTGCTTTCTTAACTGATTTGAAGTATATCCATTTCCCTCTCTCAAATGCCTTTAATGAAGGCAAAATACTGAAATAAGTGGGCAAAACTGTTACAATTCTGAACAAATATTTGTAATTCCTGATAGCTGTTCACCCTCACTACTGGAGAGTAGATTGGGTACCTCCAGAATAAATACAGTACCAGAAAAAGTAATACGACAACATAACAGGAGGAAACAAGTTACTTAAGATGGTTACAGGCAAGGCCCCGTATATTACACCATTCCACAACAACAAAATTCAGTTCTTGCCACTGAATTATACTCCAAAAACTCAGCTTTTAAAAAAATAAATATGTTTATAGTCCTTGTGGATATGGAGATTAACTTGAAAACACACACACACACACAGCCTCAAACAGTAATTTTGAGAAGTATAGTGGCATCTCAATAAAGACCCCATTGAGTCCACAATTCCACAACTCTGGAATCTGGCATTTTCCCAAGATATCACAGAATTCAGCATTCTTGTCATAGAATTTGCTGTGTCCAGGTGCCTGGAGTTTTGCTTTCTCCTCCCCTGCCCTGCCAGGACCAGCCTGCCGCTCCCTTTGCTTTTCAGCTTTTCTCAAAAGGGGGAGTTAACTGGATTCCAGTCCATGATCCCCGCACTGTTCCATGGAACCAGGCATCTGGGGCTCAGGAAGCCAACCCTGGAGTCTGGCTTCCAGCATGTAGGATGACAAGCTGAGATACCTGCAGATCAGTGCAGAAGCCGAGGCTAGGGGAGTCAAGGAAATGAATTGCTGAAGCTGGCTACCCGCTGGGACACACGATGTGTTGTAATAATTGTGGCCTAACAGGTCTATCCTAATTGTGGGATGAATTATTGGTAAGTGGGTAAAAGTTTGTAAAATGTTACAATCACCTATAACAATATATGTTGATGCACAAAGGGAAGGGAAAAAGCCTGAACTAGTCCATACAAAAAGCTCTACTAAAGCAACCCAAGGAATGCATTGAGATCGTGCCTAGTAAACAAAAAGCAAATGGAATTAGAAGTTAATGGACCAAAACTGATGTAAGAAACTAGGCTTCATTGGCAGACAAGTAATGAGGGAATGTGCTGTTCTGCCCACTACATCTTCTGGGCCTTTAAAAAAAAAAAAAAAACTTTGGCCAGGGGTGGAAGGGAAAGGGTGGTGGTGGTGGGAGAATCAAATGGGAAAAACTCCTGGTGGAGGCCAACAGGTCTCCGCTCCATTCCAGAGATTTTCCTTCATTTGTGAGTTTCAAGGATGATTGTGACACCCAGACTTTGGCACAAGACAGCTGCAAAGACCCCAGCCTGATACACGCGAGATCCTGCTCTGTCTTCCCCTTCCTTTTCATCTCCCACTATCTCTCTCTCTCTGCTTTTCACCTTATCCTGAGACCAACTGTACCGCACAGCACCAGCACAATGAGATGAGCTGACCCATCGAGCTCTGGTTGGCCTGAGGAGGATTGGTGAAGGAGAGGGAGATGACCAGCTGAATGATATTCTGCTGCCAGGAATGTGAGCCAGGGTCCAGAGCAACAGCTGTTATGGCCTGACTGCCAGCCCAGAGCATCTGTCTGTGACTGTCCAGCCACTCTGTATCCTGAGAAAGTCAACAATAATAGTATTTCCCCACCTTTACTATCCTATCTCTTATCCCATTTGCATCTGTTTGCTCTATCAAAGTCAGGAAGAGTGCCTATCATTCACAACTTGGAATTCAACAGAACTAATCCTTTCCTTTCCCACCAAGAGAAGGATTGCTTGACAAAATAAGACTCCAACCAGCATCCTCTCGAAAATGGGGCTTTGATAAGTTTTTTATTACATTTGTTTTCCATACCCGTTCAATTTCAATATCAAAATGCTTTATATCTTGTTTTGATTCTTTTTCTCTTGTTTATCCTAATCAATACATTTCCAAATTTTGGCACACATTTTCTAATGTGTTTACCACAGAACTAAACAGGCTGAGGTCTATGTACTCAAAATCCCACACTGTTTAGTGTTGTACAGCAACAGGGACACATTAAAACTTCTGACTCTCTGGGCACACTTATTCCATAGAAATTAACACAACAAAGGGAAGAAGGTTCTCCCAGAGGACAGTTCCTGGAGCGGAGCCTGGATGCCTGAAGAGCACCGTGAAAAAACCCACCCACCAAAATAATCATTGTCAAACACAATCAGACACATTTTCCAACTATGAACCATAGCAACACCAGAAGCCTTCAGAAGTAAATAATGTTTTCACCCCTCAGCTCATAGAGAGACTGCAAACCTTTCAGGGCAGGGATTAGCTCTTATCTAGATCTGTACAATGTCCAACACAATCAAGTCCCTAACCCTGAATGGGAACCTTTGGGTACTAATATAATATAAATACTGAATATTATTTAATAACACTTTAAAGGAGTACAAGAGTTTATCTTGCATAAGTGCAAGGAGATGGACTACAGACTAACATTTCACCCAATTCTATCACTTAGGATTTTATGACAAGAAGATTTGTAAGAGTTGCAATTTTAAGCATTAGTTACATTGCAGCCCCTCTCCCTCTAGCTCCTGTTGAGGATTACCATTTGGCTGATGTGAGCTGCATTTCAATAGGCTTGTCCCTTTGTAACATCTTCACAAAAATCTGTGGTAATAATTCTCCATCAACCAAAACTGCAAACAATGAAAAAGAGGATTCAGGAAATAATTCAAATTCAGTTAATTTGTAAAATGAACATATTAGCCACTGAAGCTTTCAGCTTACCATTTACAAGAGTCATTGATACCTGGGGGTTTTCAAAGGCTAGAACTGAGAAGCATTTCAATGCTTGCATTCGAACCTGTACAAAAACATAGGATTTACATTTCTTTACGTTTCACAAATATTAACCCAAAATAAGTCACACTGTGTTACACTATTTTAAGCTAACTGGGCTTTTGGAAATATTGGCTGATGAAGAAATCTAGATGTGGCTGAAAGGCTGGTGGAAGTGTCTGGGGACATGGCTCGACTCTTCTGTGATAGATCTGATATTATCTCTGCATGTTGTATTTTGCACATTTGTGAAATCCAGGGGGAAGTGATTACTAATGGGAGGGAAAAGGAGGAGCAGAGGCTATCTGCCAACACTGCGCAAACCTTGGCAAGACTTGTTGCCAATGGCATGGATGACAGAGTCAATGATACTCTCTGCATACTCTGAGGGGGAGCTTCAGAAGCATCCAAAGAAGTTAGCATAAATCTGACTAAAAGTTAATAGGACTTGTACTCCTAAATCTCTTCTGGATTTTTGAGAGCAATGCATAGCTATATTGAATTTATGTACACTATTAAAATAAATTTAAGCTATCTAATCTGCTGTGATTATATTAGGGCTGTCGATTAATCGCAGGTAACTCACGTGATTAACTCAAAAAAATTAATCGTGATTAAAAAAATTAATCACGATTAATCGCACTGTTAAACAATAGAATACCAACTGAAATTTATTAAATATTTTTGGATGTTTTTCTACATTTTCAAATATATTGATTTCTATTAGAACACACAATACCAATTGTACAGTGCTCACTTTATATTATTTTTTATTAAAAATATTTGCACTGTAAAAATGATAAACAAAAGAAACAGTATTTTTCAGTTCACTTTATACAAGTAATGTAGTGCAATCTCTTTATCGTGAAAGCATAACTTACAAATGTAGATTTGTTTTGGTTACATAACTGCATTCAAAAATAAAACAATGTAAAACTTTAGAGCCTAAAGTCCACTCAGTTGTACTTCTTATTCAGCCAATCGCTCAGACAAACAAGTTTGGTTACAATTTGCAGGAGATAATGCTGCCCGCTTCTTGTTTACAATATCACCTGAAGTGAGAACAAGCATTCACATGGCACTTTTTTAGCAGGCGTTGCAAGGTATTTGCATGCCAGATATGCTAAACATTCGTATGCCCCTTCATACTTCAGCCACCATTCCAGAGGACATACTTTCATGCTGATGATGCTCGTTAAAAAAATAATGCGTTAATTAAATTTGTGACTGAACTGGTTGGGGGAGAACTGTACCTCTCCTGTTCTGTTTTACCCACATTCTGCCATATATTTCATGTTATAGCAGTCTCGGATGATGACCCAGCACATATTCGTTTTAAGAACACTTTCACTGCAGATTTGACAAAACGCAAAGAAGGTACCAATGTGAGATTTCTAAAGATAGCTACAGCACTCGACCCAAGATTTAAGAATCTGAAGTGCCTTCCAAAATCTGATCAACAGGGGTGTGGAGCATGCTTTCAGAAGTCTTAGAAGATCAACACTCCAATGCGGAAACTACAGAACCCGAACCACCAAAAAAGAAAATCAGCCTTCTGCTTGGGGCATCTAACTCAGCTGATGAAAATGAACATGTCAGTCCACTCTGCTTTGGATCGTTATCGAGCAGAACCCATCATCAGCATGGATGCATGTCCTCTGGAATGGTGGTTGAAACATGAAGACACATATGAATCTTTAGAGCATCTGGCACACAAATATCTTGCAACGCATGCTACAACCGGGCCATGCAAACGTCTGTTCTCACTTTCAGGTGCCATTGTAAACAAGAAGCGGGCAGCATTATCTCCTGCAAATTGTAACCAAACTTTTATGTCTGAGCAATCAGCTGAAAAAGAAGTAGGACAGACTTTAGGTTATACATTTTTACATTGTTTTATTTCTGAATGGAGTTAATTCTACATTTGTAAGTTCAACTTTCATGATAAAGTGATTGCACTACGGTACTTGTATTAGATGAATTGAAAAATTTTTTTTTTTTTTTTTTTTTTTTACAGTGCAAGAATTTGAAATCAAAATAAATATAAAGTGAGCACTGTACACTTTGTATTCTGTACTATAATTGAAATCAATATATTTGAAAATGTAGAAAACATCCAAAAATATTTAAATAAATGGTTTTTATTATTAACAGCGCAATTAATCGCAATTAATTTTTTTAATTGCTTGACAGCCCTAGATTATATATCATTACTGTTATCTGCACTTCTGCCATTGCTATTATACAATGACATTAAACACAATATTATGCAAGTGTATACTGGGTGGGTTTTCATGTTGCTTTTGGTATTTGCTTTTGCTACTCTACCTATAAAGATACCACATGATATAAGATAGTCTTTTGAATATAGCAAAATAAAATTGATTATTGCTATTCAGTCAACCTTGGCCTTCCAACCTGCGAGGGAAGACATTGGTGGGGTGGAGAGGGGAAGATCAAGAACTCAGTTTTGGCCATGGTGAATTTAAATAGGAGATCATGAGGAGACCAAGATGCTGGTTTAGACATAGGGAGCTGGGTCTGGAGTTGGGAGAGATTTGTGAGTCATTCATCAGATTATCTGATGCTAGAGAACAGAGAAAGAAAAAACAGAGGCCTTTGGGAGAGTTGAAGTTAGGGGTGGTGAATCAAACAGACCACTGAAAATACAATTAGAGGGGTCAGTAAAGAGCCAGGACTGGACAGAGAGTATCAAAATCAAGGAGGACAAGAAGAGAAACATGGGTGATAGGTCAGAGATAGCATCATGGTATGCTGAAACCCGCCACTGGATCAGGAGTGGAGTGATGACAGACACAGGGACTCAATCCCCAAATAGGGTCTTATCTGATCTCAAATGGACCACTTCCAGAAGTTGGACACTTCCTGACTTTGGTGGAGGAATCAAGTTCCTCTTACTCATGGAGTGAATAGATGCTGGCAGCGTTGTTTGCCAAGAAGCGCACAGACTTGTCCTCGAAACAAGGAAGGAAAGTGCTCCATGCCAGTCAAATTATTTTTGCCTGTCTCACATAGGACAACTGACTTTCAAACCTGTAGGAATCAGTCTGCAATAAATAAGTTGTTGCAGAGTGGAGCCCACAATGGCTCCTTGTGAACTCAAGGGGTTGAGTGACAATGAATGATGATTTTCTTGTGGTTGATCCTGAGCCCAAGGAAGCGAAAACATTTATACACATTGTCCAAATTATACTTCACCCCTTGTGAAAAGAGCTCTTTTGGCTAATCACATAGATAAGCCAGCCTTGCAAAAATCACACATGAACAGGGACAGGTGTTTTTTTTTTTTTTTTTAATTTAAACACAGAAGAATCATTTGTATTTTCCTTATCAGGGTAAGGTAAAAATAAGTAAATAGGTTTTTGTGTCAGGGCTGTTGAATTTTCATTACAATGAAACCCTTGAGTCTTGGGGTTGCTAAAAGACCAAAGAGTAGAACTAAGTACAAGTAATGGGGACTGCATAATAGTTAGACAGCCAAGGTGGGTGAGGTAATAGCTTTTATTGGACTAACTTCTTTGGTCCAATAAAAGATATTACATCACCCACCTTGTGTCTCTAATATCCTGGGACCAACATGGTTACAACTATACTGCATACATAGACAGTCTGAGTGAAACATGAAATTAAGTGCCTTTGAGGTTGATAGCCCACAAAAAATCCTGCTGATTTACACCCACCATATGGGATCAGAATTGTTGGATATAATTATTCTACCTTAAATCAAGGATGATGCAAAACACTCCCTTTTTCTTGGCAATAAGGATATAATGGGAAGATAGCCCCTTATCCAGAAGCTGCTAAAGAAACTTTGTTTCCAAATAAAGGAGAAAGGCTCTCTGCATTTTCTCACGAGAAGGCTTCCTGAAAAGGGCTGGGCAAGGCGTTTAGGGGAAGCAGCTTGGAGTAGAATATCCTTTCTGGATGTCTTCTAGGACCCATCTGTTTGAAGCAATTCCCCTTAATAATACCAAGTAAAAAGGAGCAAGTCAGTTACTATGGGGGAAAAGGGAAGGGTAAAGTATCTATGAGGAAAGGTTCGTGGTTCCTGACAGCCCCATCAAAATGTTTTCTGGCAAACCGTGCCAGTGAAAATGAAGCACTGAACTCACTACAACTTTCTGCTACAATGTTTTTTCTCTGCTGGCTTGATGGAACTGTTTCTGATCCAGTCCCTAGAATTACTTTTGTGTGTGTAGATGAAACAACTCTTTCAGATATCTCATGCAGGTAGAATTTGTAATATGTGAAACATCCATAAAGCATGGATTTTATTAACAGAAATATTCTATATCAATGGTCATTATATATCAACGGTAATTATTGACCCTAGACACAGAAAACATAAGCTATTTCTATGTTTTACGGGAAGAGGAAATTCCAACCTGAGAAATTAATTGCCAAATCTCAGGTTACCAGCAAACTTGCTCTTTTTATCCTGGTTGAGAAGTTATTCCATATTTCTGTTAAAGTTATTTTATTAAATATAAATACACTAGTGGTTTTAAAGAACTGCTTCATATTAATAGCACTAAGAAAAGTATAACTGTACCATGTAGATCTATCTAGGTCGATTTAAAAGCAGAGGCGATTTTAATGTGTTCTGGACACTGAACATCTCCTGTGTGAAAGTCTCAGAACTTAAAGGGAAAGTTCTGTTGCTAAGTAACCATAATCACAGGACTGTCTATAGAGTTAAATATATGCACAAACACAATAAAAGGGACATGCTCTTATCTGAAATAAATATTGATGAAATCACTTCTTCAGTTTTAATTAATGCTGAGCACGACAATATTTATATAAAAATAGGGCTGTCGATTAATTGCAGTTAACTCACACGATTAACAAAATATTAAGCGTGATTAAAAAAATTAATTATGATTAATTGCAATTTTAATCACATTGTTAAACAATAGAATACCAATTGAAATTTATTAAATATTTTGGATGTTTTTCTACATTTTCAAATATATTGATTTGAGTTACAACACAGAATACAAA